ACTTCAATTCAAAATCGCCATATTGTCAGTTGTTGTTGGGCTGCCAGCGTGAATGCACGTTTTCTTGGAACTAAACTACCACATGTCAAAAAAACCATGTAATTTTGATTCATATTTTATAGACGAAAGCACCATATTACGGAATGTGGTTGTTTTGAATTTAAAATTCAAAAGTACACAATTTTATTTTAAGATAAAAGAGCGACATTTTGTAATACACTTGTTTTGCTTAAAAAATATGCAAATATTCAATTAATTTATCAACAAAAGCACTGTATAATGGAATACGTTTGTTTTTCATAAATTTTTCAATGAAAATTTTTTTATATTTTTAAACTAAAAATCACTGTTTTGGTATAATGTTGTTTTGATACATAACGATATTGAAAATAAATAAAATATTACACTCAAAAGTGGTATTTACCAATCGGCTCCGTTTTTAGAATGTATAGCATTATAGATTTTTTAAATTTTATTGCTCTGTAACGTCTTTTATGTAACCTGAATACTCAAAAGGAGAGTAATATGTTCGTTTATTAGCATTATGTTATGATTTTTAACATTTTTGTACCCATTTTTAGTTTAAAATTAGTAATAAAAGTGTAAAAGCTTAGTTAGTGATTAATTAATGATATTTGATATTTAGTTGGAGCTTGGGAGTCACATCGAACACCTAACAAAAAAGTAAGTACATCATATTATATTTAATAAAACATTTATTAAATTCATATATAAGTCATTACGAGTATTAACATATCTTTACTAACTTAACCTAAGTTGAATGAAGTTATATCTGGAATTAATGGTCTAATATTTAAACTTCTTCATTACTTTACTTTGGGGCCCGAAAAGCTGTTGCAATTATAATAAAGGTGATCTCGTGGAGCAAAGTCTTGGGTTACTTCATATTATTATTACAATACTCATTTTTTTGTTTTCTTTGTTACAAATAGAGTTTGCGATGAAAGTGGCAGTCCAGGTAAAACGCTAAGAGATCTATGCACATTCAACTATAATTCTAACACAATGCCGCTTGAAAATTCACTTGAAAATATATTTGAAGAAAATGATGCAGTAGATCTAAATGATGTCTCCACAAATTCTATTCCGGACAGCCAGCATGATCTTGGTTTCTCAGTACTCTATAAAATAGATTCATTTTCTTTTCCAAACAGTCCATCGAAAAACTGAACTGAACTGAAACTGAAAGTTTCGGAGACATAAAAGCAGGGTATCATAAAATTAATAGAAAAAATGTGATACCTAAATATTATGAAAGCTTTTATGCAAATCTTTAGATTTTCAGTGCGTATTAATTTAATTATTTTTATTGAAGCTATTTTGTTAAGATTGTTATATTATTTAGTTTTCATAGTAGTTTTTAGTTAAATAGAAAAAATAACAAATTGTGAAGATTGTTTGATTTTATAACATTTCATTTAACTGATATTATTTTTATAAATATTATATTAATATTAATAACTATTGTGATCTTCATGGTTGTGAATAACATAGTAATTAATAATAAATAGCAAGTTGTGACTATGATAAGTAGATTAATTATAAAAATATCTATTTACTGAATGATCTCACAATGTTTAAAGCTTTTAGATTTACATTTTTTGCTTTTGAATGAGAATTTGTACTTTTAAATAAATATTAAACAGATGTTGTTTTTAAGCGGAATTACGTAACAAAAATATCAGTTATTTCAAAATGATGCTATATTTTCATTTACAAATAAACTTAACGACTTATGTGTCTTATTTAAGAAAATAATTATATAAACCTTTTTTTCCGACTTGTGGCTTTTATTTAATACATTTCAAGGTCATTACACCTTTAATTTATATTCAAAAGTAACTTATCTGCTTCTGTATGCTTCCTTCTAAACAAAAGTGCAGAATTACTAATTTAAAGTCATTAAGGATGAAAATACGCATGTAATGAATGTATTACCAATCGGTCGTGATTTGGTTGAGTTATTTAAAAAAAAAATCTAAAAAATTTCAATTGGCTCTCCTAAAAAAATTATCCTCTCCTGGTAAAATTAATATTTTTTGGCATGTGGTAGTTTTGCATTTAAGCAGCGAAATGTTTAATGAAAGAGCAAGTAAACGAGCATACGGCTCACAGGATAAGAAGTATCCACGAGAAAATGACAGTAATTTCAATGACAGTAAATTCCACACGCGCTAGAAAATTCCGAGTAAGGTGTAGTGGATCGCCAACCATCGAGATGATGAGGATAGGCTATAATTAAGTCATTTAAAATTCCCCACTTTGGTATATGCGGTAGAAAAAGAATAAAAATGCAACAAAAAGCCGATAGTAAAGAACTTGGTCGTCGTCGTTTCGGGCCGCTCTGCGAGCTGGTTTTGGTGTATTCGGGTTCATAGAATATTCCTGCGCTTTGTAAAGCTGCACTCGTTTTACCAAGCACACCAAGTTTTTACGTGGCCAGTTTAATCTTCCCTTCCAAGTGACTACGGAACTGTACGCCAAATGATATGTAGACGCTAAGGATTCCGATACTGGCTAAGGCAACATGAAGAGTGGCATGAAATTAAGAAGATACGAACACGGGTTTCTTTTAGCGGTAAACACGCCAACTTGTCTTAGGTAAAATAACTATAGTTGTCTCTCATAGATGGATGTCTGTGCGAACATGTGGGATTATTATAGGATTACTATGAAATCTCCGCGGTAGCTCAGATGTAGCTGGAAATTTCATAGTACGCGAGCAAAACGAGTTCGATCTTCACCGGCACCAATGAAATTGTTAACTGCAATGTTAAGAGCGATTTACCACATGCTCGGCGGTGGAGGCAAACATCGTGAGAAAACCTGCATGTCTGAGAAAAAAGAAAAAAAAATGCGAAAAAAAATAACGAAAAAAAAAATACGAAATTCGCCAACATGACAGTGCGCCGGACAATTCCTTGCCCTAAAACCCTCTCAGAAATTATCGGAGGCCTATGTCCAGGAGTGGTACGTATATAAGCTGTACCTTTAACTTTAATAAAAAAGAAGAGGAAGGAGTTGGTGTCGTGTTATACAGTAAATTTAAAAGTTGGACAAAGTTAAGAAGAGATTGATAATTTCTTGAGACTTAAATATGAAGAAGACTTATCGGTCTAGTTATTAGATTATAAATAATTTTTTTGATAGTTTTCACAGTGAATTATAATAAAAACAAAGAACTAACAAAGGATATATTAAAATTAACTGATTGTCATACATAAATGAAAACTAAGTAAATTACAAAGTAATATCCTGGTGTTATGTTCGGTGTTGCTCGATTAGACATTTTCAGATTAGACATCATTCATGATGGCATTAAAACTGAACTAGATTTAGTCACCACCCATTCTGGAATCAGAGAATACTTGTGCAAAAAAGAAGAAGAAGGAGACGGTTTGGTGTTAAATTGAAAAGTTCGACAAAATGAAGAAGAGATTGATTATTTGTTGAGAGTTAACAGAGCTCGTGTTAAATATGAAGAAGACTATTATCAATTTATTAGATTATAAATATATCTAATATTGAAATAATAAAAATAATTCGCATTTTATTGGTTTGACAGTAAATTTTAATTTAAATAAAAACAAGGAAGTAACGATGTATATATTAAACTCAACTGATTGATATAAATAAACATTAAGTAAATTACAAAGTATTATATTGGTGTTATTTCCGATGTTGCTCGATTATTATCCATGACGGCATCCTTATTATGATACATAATAATCTCGTGATCGATACGTCGGCGAACCTGGCTACTTTGCGGTCGGTTTATGGATTGAATCCTAGCTAAAGCCGGTATTTTCAAAGCACACACAGTTTGGTTTTGGTTGTATTAAAGCAGCACAGCGTAGAGAGCGTACATCGCCATATGAAAGAAAGCATATGCCCAGCAGTGGGACGTATTTAGGCTGAAACTTTACTTTTAATTGCCTTTTGATATACTTAAATCTAAATGTTATGTGTATGGAGTAGAATATAGAACTCACCGATAAAGACCATGTCATTGTAAATACATTAATGCATAAAATTGATTGATTGGTACATAAAAATTTGATTTCAGAAAACTAATCTTGCTAGCAGTTGTAGGTGGTAGGGATAGCAAACACTTCAGTATGTTCAGTTTTTGAAACAATTTCTGAATTAAGTATTTGTTCTTTATTATGTACTTTAAAAAGTTTATCTCTGTTAAATAAATTTAATAGTTTTTCTTCGTTTTAGAATTCCATACCTCAAAAGGAAAAAACGGAAACCTTTTAGGATCACTTTGTTGTTCATCTGTCCGTATCAAAAAGCAATTCTAATCAAAGAAAGAGGGTAACTATAATAGGAGATGGGCAAGCAACAACAAAACTGCGGTGGCCATTCTGTCTGCCAAAAGTGACAATTTTGGCAAATATTTTCCTTTTTACTTGGGACTACTATTACGTTCTAGATATTGGAATGGCGGACATCTACTATATAAAAATAAGTCGGGTTTTCCTTCCTGACGCTATGACTCCCGAACGCACGAACCGATTTCCACGGTTTTGCATTCGTTAGAAAGGTCTCGGGCTCCGTGAGGTTTATAGCAAAGAAAATTCAGGAAAAATTTCAACAGAAAAGCGGGAAAATCTTTTTTCACACACAGCGCCATCTTTGATACATAGCATGTACTACAAACCAATATTTTAAGTAGATAGCGCCGGTGCGTGACACATTGTTTGACAGCTACTCCTTGTTCTCTGCTTAGTTAATTTCATGTGACAAACCGATATATATTGTGTTCACTGTGAAATTGTAAAAAAAAAGTAAAAAAATAAGTTATTCGTTTCCTAACATTACAATTGGAAACCATCAAATCAATCACGTGTATTGTGCAAATTTTTATTCAATTTCAACAGCAGGCATTTGTCTTTAAAGTGGTAAGTTGAACTGTGTAAATTATGTGGATCATGCATTTGAGGTTAAATTCACCATTCTGTCCATAGTCCAAAATGCCTAGAGGACGACGTGCGAACATCGGCCGCCGCACAAGACATGCAAGCCAGCAACAAGTGTATTCACAGAACTTAAGCGAAGAAAGACAAAATATAATAAGAGAAAATGCCCGATTGATACAACGCGTGAGCACACGAAGATCATTGACATCATACAATCGCTTGGCATTCCAATATGATCCCACTGCGAACTACAGTAATGATGAAAATTTAGATATTGGACCAATGACGACTATATGCCGATATTGCAATGCGTTAAAGTTCAAAAGAGAAACGGCTGGATTGTGCTGCGCAAGTGGAAAAGTCAAACTGGATCCATTACTTACACCACCACTGACACTGAAACCATTGTTCGATGGAAGTGATCCCGATTCCAGCCATTTTCTTCAACACATCCTTGAATACAATAACTGCTTTCGCATGACTTCCTTTGGAGCTAATATCATTCGAGAAGGCGGCTTCATGCCGACTTGCACGGTAAAAGATACAACACACATAACCAATCACTCACACCAACACAATGAATTGCAACACATAACAACTACATATACACCACACACTACACCATCACACGATCAGAAGTTACACCGTATTCTTCAACAAATGATTGTTTGCAATTACAGGTACAAGGACAAATATATCATTTGCATGGTTCAATGGTGCCAACAAACCGCTCAATTTCTGCAAATATATTTCTGGTGATCAGCTGAATATGCGTCTATAAAAATTAAAGACGAATTATTGAACAAGCATTTTTTCACGCTAATAATGCTGTGGTTAATATGTTCAAAACAGCATTGGAACGAATGCCATCGGATACGCACAAATTTGTCATAAGAGCGGATTGTACCCCAACAGGTGAACATGTGCGAAGATTCAATGCACCCACCGTTAATGATGTTGCTGCAATTATTGTTGGCGATCTAACTAAATCGCGAGACATTGTCGTTCAGCGAAGAAGCAATATCATGCATCGTGTAAACGAGACACATCGTTTGTACGATGCGTTACAATATCCAATCATTTATTGGCAAGGGCAAGACGGATACAACATCACGTTGAAGATGGTCTATCCAATTACAGGTACAATATTCACACACTAATTATTGCTATTATTGTATCGTTTCCATTAACAATTCATTTAATTTTGCATTTTCAGGCGTATCAACGAATAAAAATCTAAGCGCAATGAATTACTATGCGTATCGTATGACGATTCGTACTCATGAGGAGAATGTCATTCTCAAGTGCCGTCGGCTATTCCAATTGCTGTCGACATGTATGTCAAAGTCGAGACCGAACGTTTAGCGTTCACCCGATTCAATCAGGCAAAGTTACGATCTGAGGACTATATACACTTGCGTGATGCCATTCATTCAGATGGTGATGTTCAGAATATTGGACGTCTGACGATTCTCCCATCATCTTATATCGGAAGCCCACGCCACATCCACGAATACGCTCAAGACGCTATGACGTACGTGCGAAATTATGGAACTCCGGATTTATTTATTACGTTCACATGCAATCCGAAGTGGACGGAAATTGAACGTGAGTTGGAACCGGGCCAAAATCCGCAAGATCGCCATGACATAATCGCCAGAGTATTTCAGCCAAAACTCAAGGTAATGATGGATGTGCTTACTAAGTATCGAGTTTTTGGTGACACACGTTGTTATATGTACTCGGTGGAATGGCAGAAGCGTGGACTACCGCATGCTCATATCCTAATTTGGTTGCTGAACAAATTACATTCAAATGAAGTGGATGACATCATATCAGCTGAAATTCCTGATCCAGTCACTGATCCCCATCTACACGACATTGTGACGACACAGATGGTGCATGGACCGTGCGGTGCATTAAATCCATTATCGCCTTGCATGGCTGATGGAAAGTGCACAAAACGATATCCGCGACCGTTAGTTGCTGAAACAGTCACAGAGAACGATGGATATCCAGTTTATCGTCGGCGTTCAAAAGAAGATAATGGTAGAACTATCAAAGTCAAAGTTCAAAATCAAGAGATTGAGATCGGAAATGAATTCATTGTACCATATTGCCCGCTGCTATCACGAATTTTCGAAACACATGCAAACGTTGAGAGTTGTCATTCGGCCAAATCAATCAAATATTTGTGCAAGTACGTCACAAAAGGCAGCGACATGGCTGTGTTTGGTATTGCGTCGGAAAATGCGAATGACGAAATCAGCAACTTCCAAATGGGCAGATACGTCAGTACTAATGAAGCACTGTGGCGATTATTGTCATTTCAAATTCATGAAAGATATCCCACAGTTGTACATTTAGCAGTGCATTTGGAAAATGGCCAAAGAGTTTACTTCACTGAGGCTAATGCGGCACAACGAGCTGAGAGACCACCATCGACAACATTGACTAGCTTCTTTGTAATGTGTGAAGCAGATCCATTCGCAGCGACGCTGATGTACGTTGAAATGCCCAAGTATTACACTTGGAATCAATCAACAAAGAAATTCCAACGTCGCAAACAAGGAACCCCAGTTCCAGATTGACCACAGGTGTTTTCCACTGATGCACTAGGTCGCATATATACTGTTCATCCTAGAAATGATGAATGTTTTATTTGCGACTGCTGTTCGTAAATGTACGTGGACCAAAATCATTTGCGCATTTGAAAACTGTGAATGGCCACCAATGCCAAACATATCGAGAAGCATGTCAACTATTGGGTTTGCTGGAGAACGATTCTCATTGGGATTTAACACTTGCGGATTCAGTTGTTTCATCAAATGCGTACCAAATACGAACGCTGTTCGCAATTATCATCGCCACATGTTTTCCTTCACAACCAATTCAGTTATGGAACAAATACAAAGACGACATATGTGAAGATATCTTGCATCGCTTGCGCATTCAAACGAATAATCCTGACATCCAAATAACCGATGAAATCTACAATGAAGGATTGATTCTGATTGAGGATTAATGCTTGACTATTGCAAACAAGCTACTGATTGAAGTAGGAATGATTGCGCCAAATCGATCGATGCACGATGCATTCAACCAAGAATTAAATCGAGAGCTGCAATACAATGCATTGCAATACATTGCAGGAATTCGTTCGAAATAATGTACCGTTGCTGAATAAACAGCAAAAACAAGTATACGAAACATTAATGCAAGCGGTGGACAATAATACTGGTGGTCTTATTCTTCCTGGACGCACCTGGAGGAACAGGGAAAACATTTGTCATTTCATTGATTTCGGCCACTATTCGATCAAGATGTGACATAGCTTTGGCGTTAGCATCATCTGGAATTGCGGCGACTCTTCTAGATGGCGGTCGTACTGCACATTCTGCGCTTAAGTTGCCACTCAATTTAAACACAATTGATACTCCAACATGCAATATTTCCTGATCCAGTGCAATGGGAATATTGTTGATGCAATGCAAGCTCCTTGTTTGGGATGAGTGCACAATGGCACATAAGAAATCACTTGAAGCACTTAACTTCACACTGAAGGATCTTCGGCGAAATAACAACATCTTTGGCAGCTTGATGGTATTGTTGGCAAGCGATTTCAGTCAGACGTTGCCAGTAATTCCCCGTGGAACGCCTGCAGATGAATTGAATGCTTGCCTGAAGGCATCACCTTTATGGAAAACGTAAAAACATTATCGCTAACCACTAATATGAGAGTTCAACTTCAAAATTATCAAAGTGCTGCACAATTTTCCGAACAATTGTTAGCTGTTGGAAATGGAAAAGTCCCAGTTGATGCGACATCTGGAAATTAATTACTCTTACCAACGACTTTTGCCGATTTGTAGACTCTCAATTAGCTCTTATTGAAAATGTTTTCCCAAACATTAGTGAGAATTATCAGAATTATGCTTGGTTAAGTCAACGAGCAATTCTTGCCGCAAAGAATAATGATGTACACGCACTGAATTTCACCATTCAATCAAAAATTGCTGGCGATTTGGTGACATACAAATCCGTTGATTCCATAACAAATCCCGATGATGTAGTAAATTATCCAACGGAGTTTTTGAACTCTCTGGAGTTACCAGGATTTCCACCACATAACTTGCAACTCAAAGTTGGTACAGTTATTATGATATTGCGTAATTTGAATCCACCGGGACTTTGCAACGGTACTCGACTTTCGGTAAAAAGACTAATGCCGAATTTGATTGAGGCAACCATTATTAACAGAAAGTACGCAGGTGAAAATGTATGTATTCCTCGAATACCAATTATTCCGACTGATCTTCCGTTTGACTTCAAACGATTGCAATTTCCAGTTCGCCTGACGTTCGCAATGACAACTAACAAGTCGCAAGGCCAATCGCTTAGTGTTTGCGGGATGAATTTAAAAATCATTGTTTTTCACATGGGCAGTTATACGTTGCGTGTTCACGAGTTGGGAAACCATCCGCTTTGTTTGTGTTAACGTCAGACCAAAAAACAAAAAATGTGTTTACCAAAGAGCACTTCAATGAAACGGATAATTTGTGGACACGTATAACGCTTCTATTCAGTATTTACTTTGGATTCACTTTCATTTACTTAGAGAAGTTCAACTAAATAACACTTCATTTTTGTAATCGAAAAGAATTCATTACTGTTGTGAAATGAAATAAAATTTTTCCTTTTCAAATATAAAACAAAAAAAAATTTTCTTCTTCTTTTAATCACCAAACGAAATGTTACATAAAACGAAGCCATCTGGTGGCGAAACGGAGTTCGCCGGGTTTGCTAGTCCTTTATATTAGTGGGTACTTTTATCTCTTTTTTCTCTTAAATTCGTGTTTGAGGGATAAATGTGTCACAGTTACAGTTACCGTTACAGCCTGTAAAATTTTACTACTGGACATAGGCCCCTCCCATAGATTGCCACATAGGGGGCATATTTGCCAAGCTGGGTGGGAGGGTTGGCAACCGCAGTTAATGTTTTAAGTTGTTATTAAGAAGACGCTGCTACACATCTCATGGCTTATTTCCCTTCGTCGGAACGATATGGAGTAGTGGATATTCTTACTCAGCTATTTTACGGTCAGGATGAATGTGTACCACGTGCTCGGTGGTGAAGGAAAACATCGTGAGGAAACCTACTGAGGAATAACAAAAAAAATATTTCGAAGACATGTGAAGTTCGCCAATACGCATTGGGGCAGCGCGGCGGATACTTCCTTGCCCTAAAAACCCTCTCAGAAATGAGGGGAGGCCTGTGCCTAGCAGTGGGACGTATGGAGGCTGTAACTTTACTTTACTTTATGAATGTGTACATTGAGTACATTTTTCACGCATGCAATATGTGAAAAACTACATGTTTTAATTTTTGCGATAACAGTACATTATTGGTTATAATTGAAAATGCACCGACTTAGTGGTTTCCAGATAAAAGCAATGACATTCAGATTTATCATGGTTAGTCGACAGCAACATTTTTTTTTATAAAAAATAAGATCTGCCTTATGATTTATGAAAATTAATTTCAAATTTTAGGTTTTTATATTAGCAAACAATGAAGCACTTGCAAAATGTGTTATTCCTGATAAAAATAAAAGTAATGGCGTAGAAGTTCTAAATAAAGAAGTCAATCAAGACATTACCGTTAAACCTAGATCCAGATGTTGTCCCTATGATTTCGACGCAAATCTTTGTAAGTTTGTGGGTGATAGATTACTTTGCGGATATAATAGGAACAGAGGAGGTTTTCAAAACAGCGACGAATTTGTGGATTTAAAAAATGGTTGTCGCTTACGAGGTGGTAGAGTAGAGTGTGGCTACGTAAATGGTCCTTTTACAAACCCAAGAAGACCACCTGCAGTGGACAATGCTTTATTACAAGATGATGGAGCAACTGATTCGATTATAGATAAAAATACTAGTGGAGCTGGCAGTAAGGAACCGCTTAAGCGACAAACAAAAAAAGAAAATTATTATGGTACAACAAGATGTTTAGAGATACGAGATCGTATAATTTGTCGAACATATTAAAATAATTTTTTTGTATAAACCCTTTTTGTAAAGTCATTTGCTCTGAAGAGTTTGTACTCTTTTTCTAATGGGCCATATAACAAACCTAAAAATAATGTTTATTATATTTTAAATGAAATACAATCAACATAATCCTTGTGATGTATTATTTCATGAGAACAAACATAAATCAACAACAAACATTACTTTTATATCAAACAATGAATGTCATAAATAGAAACGCTAACGAAATAGAAACGCGCCAGTGATTTATCAGTTTTATTTGACGCCTGAAAGAACGTTTAGTACAACGTCATTGACTTATATATTACAAGCGTAAGGACCGGGCCGACCGAACAACTAAAACGGACCAATACGCTGGCCCTAAAATTATAGTTTAGGGCCAAAGCGAATCGGTCGACAGTGGTGCGCGCGCAGGACAGATTTGCCTGTCATAAATATGTCTAGTTGCGTGGTAAAAGGCTGCAAAAATTACGATACAAAGATTAAAAAGGAACATGGGATTTCGTATCATCGGTTAACCTTATATTGTGTTACAATTAAATTATTGTTAAACGCATTTTTAAAGTTTTATTTAACAGTTAGTTTAGTTACGTTATCAAGATTAGGCCAGGGTTGGATTCAGACCCTCAAAAATATTGTACATGGAAAATAATATTATACTATTTTTAAAAAATTATATCAAGTCTGACGTTTCATGTTTCTTTTTCCCATGTGCCGGGATTTTTGCGTCACGCGTCTAGTTTATCTATACGTTTTATTTTTTGGCGGTTTTATTTTTATTTCTGTTTCATTTTTGTCTAAAAAACTAAGTGTAAGTCAAATTTTGAATATTGGTACCTAATATATTGTTACGAGCTTGAGGTTCGTGACAATAAAAATTGCCGATAGAATTACCTAAATTAACACTTTAATTCATTTTACACTAATTAAAGTTAAAAACACTAATAATCACACTGATTCACTTTATTCCGCTCCGAAGCTTCGCTTGTCTCGCCAACTTCAATAATTCCCGATCGCATCTTGCAGCGCCTATTTATATAAATTAGCAGCGAAATATCCAGAATATTCAAGTAAACACGCGCAAGGTACCGAGAATTCGTGTTACAACTTCAAGAAGTTTAGTTCTTCGGTTCGAGACTAGATGGCGCTAGTGCCGTCGACTTGAGCGCGTAACACTGCCCCCTCCTAAGACATGCTCGTCCCGAGCATTATCGGCCCCATAATAACGCGCCAGGCGATCCACATGGACGATCTTAGGAGTCCCTCTTGCGCCTTTCTGTATCCGGTAGGTTACATCGTTGATCCTGGTCATAATCCGGTACGGGCCGTCCCATTTAGCTTGAAGCTTAGGAGATTTCCCTTTGCTGCGGACGGGATTATGCAACCACACTAGTGAACCTTCGTCGAACCCTTTGTTGTTCATTTTGCAGTCGTACCGGGTTTTCATCTTTTCAGACATTTGCTGGCCCGATTGTCTGACGTGCTCATAAACGTCATTCATTTTGTTCCGCAAGTCATTTGCATAATCGGTTATACTACGTGGAGCATCAGGTGGTATCCCGGTGATCACGTCTGCAGGTAGCCGTAATTCTCTTCCAAAGTTTGCGAAAGCTGGTGTCACTGCTGTACTTTCGTGAACAGCGCTTCGATATGACAACAAAAACGGTTGTATGTGCTTGTCCCAATCTCGTTGCCGATTGTCTACAACTTTTGCTAGGTACCTCTCCAATGTCTGATTAAATCGTTCTACCATTCCATCAGATTGCGGGTGATAAGAAGTCGTTCTTGTTTTATGAGTACCCATAGCTCGGCAAGTTTCCTGGAATATTTGAGACTCAAAATTCCTTCCTTGATCGCTGTGAATCTCTAAAGGTACTCCAAAACGACAGAAGACTTCATGAACTAGTTTATCTACAACTGTTGAAGCTTCTTGATTTGGAATGGCGAAGACTTCTGGCCACTTAGTGAAGTAATCCATCACAACCATGAAATACTTGTTACCGCTTTCATTCTCCGGAAACGGCCCCGCCACGTCAATGGCTATTCTCTCCCATGGTGCACCAACATTGTACAACTTCAATGCACCTCTACTACGAGTCTGAGGTCCCTTTGCAGCCGCACAACTTGTATATTTGCAACACCAGTCCTCGACATCGTTTCGACAGTGGACCCAGTAAAACCGTTCTTGGATCTTCAGTAGAGTTCGTTTAACTCCCAGATGGCCTCCTGAACAATCATTATGGTACAGCTGTAGAACATCCGGTACTTTAGCTTTAGGGACAACCATTTGAAAATGACAGCTGTCTCCCCAAACATTTTCCCATTTACGGCACAGAACTCCATCCTGAAGCAGCAAACTGTCCCATTGGGCCCATTAGCTTTTAGTGGTCGAACTCATCGCTGAGACGTAGCTCCACTTGGGCTTGGGAGCACTGGCCTTCATCCATTCCAGAATCGGCTTGATGTCCGGATCTTCTTGCTGTGTATGTAGTAAGCTGTCCTTCCATTCGTTGCTGAGGTGATCTGTCCTGAGCATCCTCACGGATACCTCTTCCTTACTCTCTTGCCTAGTACAATGGTTGCAATCTTCAGGACAAGGTCTTCTTGACAATGCATCTGCGTTGCCGTGAGATTTTCCGCTGTGATGTTCGATCTCAAAGTCGTATTCCTGCAATAGTTCAATCCACCTCGCAACTTGTCCTTCGGGATTTTTAAACTGCAATAGCCATTTTAGTGCAGCATGGTCAGTTCGTAAGTGAAATTTTCGTCCCAGAAGATATTTGCTAAAATGCTGCAACGACTTTTACCACAGCTAGCAATTCGCGTCTTGTGACACAATAGTTCCTTTCCGGTTTTGACAATGACTTGCTGAAGTACGCTATCACGACATCTTGGTCACCATTCCGTTGAGACCACACACCGCCAAGTCCTATATCACTTGCGTCTGTGTCAACTATAAATTCTTGCTTGCATCAGGGTATCCCAAAATAGGTGCTTTGCACAGATGGTCCTTGAGCTCCTGGAATGCGATATTGCAACTTTCATCCCAGCAGAAATGTCGCTTCTCCTCGGTTACCTTGTGTAGAGGTTTGGCTATATCTGCAAAGTTCTTCACAAATCGCCGGTAATAGGAGCACAAACCCAAAAATGCTCTAACCTGCGTCTTGTCTTTTGGAACCGGCCAATCCTTAACAGCGGCGATTTTCTCTGGATCCGTGCGGATACCTTCTTCCGATACTACATACCCCAAAAAGTTAACTTGCCGTTTGAATAGTGAACATTTCTTCGGACTCATTTTGAGGTTAGCACTCTGAATCTTCATGAGCACGCTTTCCAGGTTTTGAAGGTGTTCCTCAAACTTCCGACCTACGATGATGATGTCGTCCAAGTAGACCAGACAGGCATCGCCAATTAGCCCGGTAAGTACAAGTTCCATCAGCCTTTCAAACGTTGCTGGAGCATTGCACAACCCGGCATTACTTTAAATTGCCACAACCCTTTCCCGTTGAGAACGCAGTTTTCTCCTTGTCCTTAGGGTCAATTTCAACTTGCCAGTAGCCACTTTTTAGATCCAGCGTGCTAAACCACTTTACTCCTGTAAGCATGTCCAGCGTGTCATCAATTCTTGGCAAGGGATAGCTGTCCTTCTTCGTAACGTCGTTCAGACGGCGGTAGTCAACACAAAACCGCATGCTGCCATCCTTCTTCTTCACCAGCACCACTGGTGAACACCATGGACTAGAGGAAGGTTCAATAACACCATCCTTCACCATTCCTTCAATCATGGTTTCCACTTCCTTTTCACGTGCTACCGGCAATCTTCTTGGCCGCTGACGGATAGGCAATTCTTCTCCTGTGTTTATTTTGTGTTGAACTAAGCCAGTCTTTCCTATGTCAGCATCGTTTGATGAGAATACATCGGCGTACTTGAGTAACAACTTCTTCGCCTTGACCAATTCGTTCGGGGAGAGAACACTGCGACAGTCTTCCAAATGTGTGGTCACTCTCGTTTCTGAATCCTTGCTGGGGGTCCCACTCGATATATATTGGCACCGACGTAACCAGTCCACTTCCTCACAAGTACCAACCAGTGTACCTTTTTCTATAATCTGTTCCCGGTCGCAAAGGTTCAGCACACGTACTCCTGAGATGTTAGTGGTCCTGACCATGGTTCGAGCTACTTTCCATGGAAGTTCATTGTTTACCCTTTCCACAAGTACACAACGGTGAGCTTGCCCAGCGTTTCTAGGAAGACTAACCGGAACAATCGTTTCCGATCTCAGCGGAAGAACATTCTTCTTAATGCTGTACACGTTCCCTGGTAACGCACCTTCCATAAAAAGTTCCTCCTGTCCACATTTCAAAACACCTTGCTTAACGTCGATCTCACAACAATTATTCCTCATAAAGTCTAGGCGTAGGATGCAGTCGTCCATTATATCAGCCACGATGACATTATGCAGGTAGATCACGTTGCCTAGCTTCAACTCCATCTCCTTCTCTCCACGGACGGGTATACGCTGACCGGTGGCTGTTACCAAATTAATGCATTCTCGGTTGTATGCGGAGTCCCCAAGGAACTGACTTATAAGTTGGGAACTAACAACCGTACGAGAGGCTCCAGTGTCTATGGTCAGTTTACGCGGCATTCCGTTGACCTCGCCCTTGATGATCAGACTGTTCCCATCATGGGTTTGTGAGATCGAGATCCTTGGGGCTCTTTTAACATCAGCCAGCACCCCCCCGCAGTTCTGGCTTTTACTCGTTTCGGCCGCACTACCCTCCTGAGATCGTTCACCTTCCCTTTCTAGGGTTCGCTTAGGGCAGCTGGAACGAAGATGGCCCTTTTCCCCACAGCCATAGCAACTAGGGCTGTATCCTTTGTTGCGGTCGCGAACTGTAGCTGCTGCAACCTCCCTGACGCGATGGGAACGATGATCCTGCCGCACGGCTTCTATCTCCAGTGCATGGGCCAAGGGCGTCTCGTGGTGCCCGAG